TATTTTTATGTTTAGAACAACGTATTACCCTAGTAGTTTATCATTCCTGGGGTGTTTTTGGGGAGGGTTGTTTTTGTTGTTATTTTGGTGGGGTTTTTTTGTTAAGTTAGATCATGGTTTAATCCCACAGAAGTGGAGAAACAGCAAAGTTTTCATCCCTTCATTTATTCATTCATGCAACACCTATTATATGTTAGAGGTAACCTGATCATTGACCTTAATATTGGTGAATGTAGTCTGGTTGGGGAGACAGATATGAAATGTGATATACCACATTAAGTGCTTTGGAGCAGGAAGGTAGATGAACCAACTTCTCTTGGGTGATTAGAGAACATTTTTTACAGAGGAAGAACCCAAGCCTACTGCATTTTGTAGTGTAGTAGCCTTGGACAAGAGCAGCAGGCCAAAGGCGTAAGTGGGAATGAAATCAAGTCTCAATGCCGGTACCCAACCATGTACCCAGTGAGGGGTTGTGTCTGCGATGATGGGGCTCTTTTCGGTTTTACAAAGGCATCAGCTGAGTTGATCTGGAGCCAACAGCAACATGTGAGGTGGCGCTTAAAGAATGAGCAGGAATCAGCCAGGCAGAATTCTGAGTGGGAAACTTACAAGTCATGGAAGCAGCCGGCATGTCTGGGGAAGGATGAGAAGTTCAATGGTTTACATTTTATCTACAGGGGTAGGAGAATTAACAGTGTTTTTAATCATGGGAGCACTTCAATCCATGGGAAGTCAACTCTCTCAGGAGTGTTGGATAAATGGCAGGGGGAGCAGGAAGAACCCAGAGGAGAGGAAATGGTCGCCTTTACTACCATAGCTAGGATGGGATGGAGAAAAGGTCAAGGAACCGGCAAAGGGGCTGTGAGGGTGATGAAAGGGCCAGCGTTGACTTCAAGGTTTTAATTCTGGATACCAGGGGAAGAGGCTCAGACTGGGTTGGGGTGGGAAGGGTAGGTGTGCTGATGGGCACAGTTGGAAACACAAGAAGTGAAGGTTCTGGTAGGTGGTAAGAAAGAAGCAGAGGCTGGAAAGGCAGTCCTGTAAAGCGTTAGCACACGTGATGTACTGAAAGCCATGGGCATGCATAGAATCCCCTGGAGAGAGCGCGTAGTGAGAAGAGAACCTGGAATACTAGTTGGCAGTTGGCAAGGCACTGGTGACTGTAGTGAGAACGGATTGAGCAGAGTGCTGGGGATTAAAGTTACATTATAGTAGACTCAAGATAAATAAGCATTACAGGATACAGTGGTTTTCACCCCCAGTTACACATTAGAATAATTACCTGTGAAGGTATTTTAAAGGATCAGTGCCTGTGTCCCACCTCTCAATATTCTGAGTTAACTGGTCTTCTGTCAGGCCCAGAAATAAGTATTTTTTTTTGAAAAGTTTCCCAGATAGTATTAATGGAGAGTCAGAATTGAGAACCACTGCTCTCGACTATTCTTTTAATAATTATGAATAAACTCCCATAGCTAGCAAGTATATGATGAGATACTTATCAAAGAAGTACAAAATTGTTCAAAGATGAAGAGTCTTGATATTTTATTAAACTGGCAACAATTAGAAAGCTGAATAATACTTATTGTTATTATTCAGTGGCACACAGAGCTCTTACCACTGACGGTAGGTAGACTGGCATAACCATCCCAGAGAGCAGCTTTGCCAAATTCACTCTTTGACCTACGAGTTCTACCACTGGAGACGCATCCCAGGGAAATTCTCCCATAGGGCCATAAGGGAACCTGCACTAGCATGTTCCAGTGCAGGCTTGTATACAGCAGGAAGAATTGGGGTAATCTGAATGGCCTTCACTGTGAGAGTGGGTTGGGTGAAATTGGATGGATGTACTCCATCGGAAGCATGGATTAGATACGTAAAATAGTAACATGTATGTTGCAGACCTGCATGTTCTGCACAGGTATCCCAGAACTTAAAGTATAATACGTAATAATAATAAACAAGCTCAGTAAAATCGCAAGGGGATTTCAAAGTTTCCTTTTATATAGCACATTTGGGGAATAAAAAGGGAAAATCTATTAGGTTTTTTAATAAATTCATTTATTCATTAACAAAAAAATAGTACATGGATGGATCTTTTTTTTTTTCTTTTTTTTTGAGACGGCGTCTCGCTCTGACACCAAGTGCAGTGGCACAATCTTGGCTCACTGCAACTTCCGCCTCCCAGTTCAAGTGATACTTCCGCCTCAGCCTCCAGAGTTGTTGGGACTACAAGTGCTCACCACCACACCTGGCTAATTTTGTATTTTTTAAAAATAGAGATGGAGTTTCACCATGTCGGTCAGGATGGTCTCGATCTCTTGACCTCATGATCCGCCCGCCTCGGCCTCCCAAAGTACTGGGATTACAGGCTTGAGCCTCTGCGCCCGGCCAATCTTAAAAACATAATGCTAATTTAAAACATAGTACAGAATAAGAAACATAATATCACTTACATAAAAATACATACAAAACAAGGACAATATATGTTTTGGAAAAACAAGTTGAAATAAAAATCTAGACACTATTTCATTGAAGTGATTGCCTGCACATAAGAAAAGGAAACACTGATAAGAGTGAAGACATTTCATTTAAAAAGTGTGATTCCTTGGGAGGCCGAGGCGAGTGGATCACGAGGTCAAGCGATCGAGACCACCCTGGTCAACATGGTGAAAGCCCGTCTCTACTAAAAATACAAAAAATTAGCTGGGCACGGTGGCGCGTGCCTGTAATCCCAGCTACTCAGGAGGCTGAGGCAGGAGAATTGCCTGAACCCAGGAGGCGGAGGTTGCGGTGAGCCGAGATCGCGCCATTGCACTCCAGCCTGGGTAACCAGAGTGAAACTCCATCTCAAAAAAAAAAAAAAAAAGAAAGTGTGATTCCAGGAATGGATGAGGTAAGAGGGAGGCTGAAGGAAGAAAAGAGGTCAAGGGAAAGGGGTGCATATGAGTGTATGTGCGTGTGTTTTAATAGAAGAAAGGGTTGTAAGTGTGTGGGTGAAATACAGACCCATACGCTTCTCCCTCTTATCTATGCAGTGTTGCTAACAGTCGGAAGTTGTGTCCAAGTAGTGTTCCTTTCTTTGCTCTTCCCTGATCTTAAATTCATTTGACTTTTTCTCATTACTAAAGCAGTATGTGTTTTACAGACATACCAGAAAACTGACAAGCAAAATAGAAAGATCCATGAACCCACCCACCCAGAAACAGCATCCAGATCCCTTCCTATGAATATGCTGCAAAGTTAAATTTTGTAACCGGAATGTCTTTTTTGCTGAGTAGTGCTTTGTGAGCTTCTCCTGGGTCATAAGGAGACATTAGTGCAACTTCATTCTAAATGGCTGCCTGGTGTCACGGTACACCATTATTAACGTCCAGCTCCCTTCTTCTGTACATCAGTCATTTTTGTTTTTGGCACCCCAAACGCTGCAATAAGCAAACTTAAGCTACCTACCTTTGAAGAAGATTTTCTTGGCTCATTTTTCAAAAGAGGTTTAAGGATTGGATTTGAAATTGTCTCAGCAAGTAAAATTCACTCAGCATTACCCAAGTCAGAGTACCTGTTCCCTTTGGAATTGTTCTGGGGCCAGTCAGGATTGTGAGTGAAGGAACAGGGCCATTCCCCACTGTCTGGACACAGTGTAGGTCCTTGTCACTGTGCCAAAGTGCAATACGGGCTCCCTGGTTTCTATACTTTAATCAGTGATGCACAATTCAATCCCATAAACTGTTGAGGGAGCCAATGTGGAATGTATGCATTGCCTCAAATGTGATTGATTATTTCATGGGTAGGTGGTGAAATAGGATGCACTGAGCTTTTAGAAAATTTCAAGAAATCACTGTTTATGCTACAGGACCAAAGCAGGTTCTTATGTTTATACCCAGTGCCCCAGTAGTTAGCAGAACAAGCAAGCCCAAGGGAAAGTGCAGTGTGTTTTTCTGAGTACTTCCTACCCTGCAAAATCCCCCCAAACCAGTAGTTTTGGAGATTTCATTTAATCCTTCCAGTTGGTAGGTTTAAGCCTGAGGAATCCAGTGCCAGTGTTTCTCCGGGCTTTGATGGTTAGGAATTGGCCAGACGGCTCTGCAGCCAGCTTGTCAGGCCCTGAAGAAGTAGCCTGGCTATTGGAGACGGGTCTCTTCATGGCAGGAACCCCCTATCATTTCTAGATCATTACTACAGCAACCGAAATGCACTTCTGTCTTTTCGAAGAAGCTCGGAATAGTCAGAGCTGTTTCCAGGGCCTGTTTTGCCGCTCTTGAATGCATTCTCCAACCTATGTATATGTTAACACATAACCACGTCCCAAAGAATTCACACTGCGCAGCGCTGTGCTTTTATCAGACAACGAAAGCCTTCAGATGAGTTACAGTTGATAGGGCAAGGGAAGCTCAGGGCTTAGAAAAATCCCTTCAGTGGCCCTGCTTAAAAACAGCAGTGTAGGCCATAGCTTAGTGTTTTGACAGTTTATATCAGCAGTTTTCTCAGCTGATATATTGATTGCAGTTGGACTTCAGTCCTGCTGATCTAATAAAACATCACCATCATAACAGAGAAAGTAAAAGGATCTTTTGTGGTCCCAGCCGCTTGGCAAAGTAGCTTTGTAGAATCACTGTAAATCTAGCTTGACCGTAATATGTGAAATGAAGCAATATTGGACAAGCTAATTATATTTTTATTTAATTTTTTCATCTATTATGTTATATATTAGCACAACCCTATATATTTTTTACAAATAGGCATTTGCTCAAAGGAATATAATGATGCCTTCACAAATGTGAAAACAAGTTTTCTACGTCAGTATCACAAACAACCTAACAGTGTGTCAAAACCTGCAATGCCCCAATACCTAGTGGAGAAAACACACAAGGTCAACCGAGGTCTGAATTCAGCTTCAAGACATGTAAAAATCTTCTACTTGTAATTTTGAATGGATATTACGGATATTTTTAAATCATCTGGTCTTCAGTCCTACTTACACTAAATATCTTTTAATTTCACAGCAATTGCTAACCATCCAGGAGGAATTAAACAACAAAAAGTCAGAATTGGAACAAGCAAAGGAAGAGCAGTCACATACACAAGCGTTACTAAAAGTCCTCCAGGAACAAGTAAGTGAATGGAACAGCTCTGATTTATGAATCGGTTCAAACACCCCAATGCATACGTCCCTCGTGCGTCACCCGTGCAAACATTTACTGAAAGTCATCTGCAGGACAGTAAGCCTGAACCCTGTCAAACCTCCTAGCAGCTTTCTGTGCAGAATTTATAATCTCACTCCTGTACCTGTTTGGATTGCCCACGCCTGCCAGTGTTGTGTGAAAGTTTCTTCCAGAAGACAACCAAATTTTGATAAAGTTTCAAAATATTGGCAATGAGGTATGTGTCAAAGTTTCAAAGTAGGCAGCCGGTTTCCTCTTAAGTCTTACAGTGAGGAAATGAGTTTAGCATAACCCATGAGACTCCTGCAGACACAGGAACAAGGACTGATTCATAGCAACACTTAAAAAATATCCTCCCTGTGCATCAGGGTACTTATCTAACCATGATGAGCAGCAGACCTTTTATATGAAGTTTGTAAATCTGATCATTTCATGCTGGCTTTCTTTGATACGAAAGTGTGGTCTGACATTGATAAGTGGACTGGAAAGTATTGTCTTACAGCAGGGTAAGACGGAGCACTCAGCTGGCAGCAGAGTGAAATCTAAGCCCACTGTCTACACGAGAGGAGCCAGGAGAGCTCTTGAAATGCCTGCCTATTTCTGGCCTTCACTTGCTGCCAACAATATATGAATGGTAATTTGAAGGAAAAAGTTGCATTCAGTAACCCCAACCCTCTGTGGGTAATGAAATACAGGTTGTTTTAAATTTTCACCCATACATCATGGTTTTATATTGTATAAATAACCTTACACTGTATAAATAACTTCAAAGGTGACATTTGAGAATATATAAATGTCACTTTATGAGTGGTTTTTTTTTTCATGCTTTGGGGTCCAGAAAATATCTTTTTAGTTATTTTCTCCTAAAGGTATGATTGATTTGTGAGGGAAAAGTAAAGATATTAGTTTATAAACTTTGATAGCTTTGGAAGAAAATGCTTCATAAAACTAATAATTATCTTTATGTGATGGATATAGGTTCAGGAGCATGGACTGAGGCTGACACTATGATTTCAGATATAACAAACTGAAGTGAAAAATCTAGTTGACTAAATTCACAATGGCCTGTAGTTGAGGAGATCTGAAATCACTGCCCCTTCCACTGTTATTATGAAAAGATTCCCAGCTTTTTGGAACTGAGTTGGTCCAAATTTGCTCCAGATCAACCAGATATAGCTCTGAGCTTTTGTTTTTTCTGCTCTCTCGCCCTGATTTTTTTTCTTTTAGATACTTTGACTGGAATGGGGAGGGGTGAATATCTCTTTCCTCTGAATGACTCAAATCTTTTATTTTGATTTTAAGTCCAAACCCTAGTCATAAAACTAGATTCTGAGTTTTACAGAAAGTATTGACATATCTTGTTCTGGCATGCATTTTTAAAGAGCAGAGCACACACAGGCACGGGTGAAACATCACACTTCACTCTCCATTATTTAAAAAAAGAGAACGTGAAGAGGATTGGAAACAACTAAAATCATTAAAGACCTAGAAAATGCGATTGAGAAGGAAGAGTTTTGAATCTGCAGTATTAATTTAAATGGGATAGCTCTTTCCAAGCAAAGACACCAAGAATCTTTAAGCCTGAGACACCAAATATATTTGGGTGCTGGTACCATTACTGAGCTGTCCAAGAGCCCCTCACTCGCTACCCCTTGGTGGTTCTTGCAGAAGGGCCGTGCAGTGTACGGGTTCCTTCCAGGCCCCTGCACCCACACAGATGTGCACTGACAGCCACACCTCTCACCTCCACTGATCATTGCCTTTGAGGCTTTCTTTGGATTTGCGTAGAGTAACTCCATACGCAAACAGTTTCAGCGGCCACATAGATGTGGCCTAAACAAATGGACACATGAGGGGAAAGATACACCCTTCTCTGAAGATTGAGGATGTTGCTATTAATGGGATTGCCCCTTGCTGGGAATCCTGACAAGGCAGACCTTTCCCACCCTCAGGCCCCACCCCTCCAGGGAAGGACAGGCCACTCCCTAAGCTCTCAGTCTTCCCATCTGCGAAGATGCAGCTTCTCTAGGTCCCTCCAGGCCCCTCTGGCTTCTGCCTTTCATCTCCTTTGCAATGAGGATAGCTTTCTACATCTGGAGCTTGTTCACAAACCTAAGTTTCATCAGACAAGATGTGCAGCCCTACCTGGGGGAGAGTAGCAGCCAAAGGAAAGAACAGGGAGCTGAGGGAGCAAGAAAGCAGCAGCTGTCCTGAGCTGCCGCTCCAAGGAAGGAGAGGGGCGATGGGCAGCAGGAGCGGTTTCCTCCCATGGTTCTGGCTACGAAGCAAGTGGAGTGAACCATGCCCGGAGACAGGGAGTGAGGGAGAGTAAACAGGAGCAGAAACAGCAAGGGCAGAGTTAGAGGACATCATGGAATAGGAAGAATGGAGTTTAAAGGGAGGAGAGTAACCGGCACATTTAGGTTGCTGAGCACGTAAAGGTGGAACAGACGTTCACAAAATAGTCCTTTACTTCTGCTGAGAAAGAGCAAGACCTTCTGAGCTAACCCCACTCTAACTGATGGGAGCACAAACTACAGGACCTGAGGTGGGATGAGCAGACGGGTTGATGAAGAGGATGATGATGAGGGACACCTACAATAAGAAGCCTTCGGCTGGGAAAAGAGCGAGGGGATTTTAGAAAGTCCTTTCGTGTCCTGTGATAATAGGTAGTATTCCTGTCACTGTAGCACACCTCTGCCTTGTCATATACACCATACATCGCCCATGCTCCCCTGTCTGTCATGTGTAGAAACATCAGTGATGTTGCCCTGAAGAATAGTGGGCAGATTTTTTCCTTAAGTGGGCGTGATATGGAAATGAGCCAAAGAGCCTCTGGTCCATAATCAACTAGTTGATCCTCCGTTTCTTCATGTTACCATTCCTTTGGCAAAGCCCCTCCTTTGGCATGGAGTAGGTAGGGCTTGTTAGCTGGGAGTTTAAGACTGGCTTTGCAAATCCAAAGACGCTTTCATTTTCATGTGCACAAATAGAAGGAACCAGTGTTCTGAATCAGACACATTGGTGGTGTATGAGCATTGACTTCCTTTCAACTCTTAAGTAGTATTTCCTGCCATGAATACTTTGTATTAGACCTAAAAAGGATAATGGAGGACATGCTGCTTCCTAAGGCAGGAAAAAGTCCTGGCAAAACAGCTGCGAGCCCGCTCACCCTCTCCCTTTGCTGTCGGATTCTAAATGTCTGTTTTGAGTCAGGACAGGATAAAATGCCAATTAAAGGGTTTCTGAAACCTCCTGATAACCGATTACTCCTAAGCTTCTGAGAAAGAGAAGTGTTTTCAAGTGTTCACTGTTAAAAATCTCATTTGAGAAATATCGTGTCTTCTAATGCTTCCGTGGCCAAGGAGATGTCATCCAAACTCTTTCTCTACCAAAGAAGCAGCCGTCTTTAGGCCTCCAGAGATGTCAGTCATTCAAATACATTCTCAAGGAAGACATGTCTGGTAGCACAGCAGCGTGTTAAAAGCGACTAGAAATGCATCGTTCACGAATAATCGTTAATATAACATCATTTTGCTGGTGGCAACTTGCAAACACTGCAGGGTTTAAATTAATAGGAAATGAAATCATTTATTATTCCTAAGAACCAATTTTATACATTTTATGCCTATGGAACTGCTTTCTAATCTTATTATTTAAAAAATTATGACCAAGACCCATTTATTCTTTTGCCAGGCATCAAGCTTCATAAAATATTGCTCTCAAACTGGCTCCAATAAGGCTCATTAGAAATATGTGCTCCATCTGTTTTACCTCATTGGAAGTTTTATAAAATGCAACCTCAAATAAATCAGTTAACAAGATGATTTACTTAAGAGATCTGCTTGCTTATTCATTATTTTCTTTTGTGTTGTTTTTCCTTAAAATTTGCAGTTAAAAGGTACCAAGGAATTGGTCGAGACCAATGGCCACAGCCATGAGGATTCAAATGTAGGTACCACAAACCTGGTATTTGCTCTTCTTGCTTGATGTTGGTTGACATGGGGATGTGGCACTTTATCTACAACTTAGAGGAAATCAGGAAGCTCTGCCTCTCAGCAATTTAAGATTAATTTATAGGGTTTGGTAAGAAAATGTGGTTGACAGGCAGTGCTATTGTTAGCCTAGTTTATCAAATGTCAATTTAGAAGTAGTGAGCTGATCCCCACCATCAAAAAATCTAATCTCAGTGAGTCTGTTTGAGCTCTTAATATTTCCAACACTGCGACTGATGATATAGTGGGAGGGAAATGGAGAGAGACCCGACAGGGTAATCAGTTGTTCACTGCATGTGTATTCATTAAGTTTACCTGCCAGCAAAGGTGGTACTTAAATGACTGACATGCTGAAAAGATCTCAGAGCAAACCCCTTCTCTCAGAACAGCCCTTGAAATTTCACCTCTTTCCTGTTCCTCACCCAGAGCAGTAGCCACGGTGCATCCGTCTTCTTGATAGAGAATCGTGTGCGATGGTACAAGGTCTCAGCTGCACCACGACTCCCTCTCTTAGTTTTCCCTGAATATCCAGTTGTCAGAATGAAAACAAGTATTCTTTTTGGCTTGAAAGTTCTTTAGTCTCAGATGGAATAGTATACCATGTAGATCATTGCCTCTCCATATGTTTGATGATTTTGTTTTTTTAAAATCTCTCCGATATCTGTATGTATTTGATCATCCTCGTCATAGGAAATGCTTACTAGGCAGTTCTTTTCACAGAACACAGAATTAGACATGATAATGAATGCCTGATTACACTGGAGCTAGTAGAAATTATATATTTCTTGTTCACTTTTGTTTTAATTATATACAACAGAGAGCATGATATTCAGAGCATCAAAAAATCCCACTTACTCATTACTGCTCCTAACCAGCAGACATTTAACATATGCTGTTTGTGAAGGACTTATATGTTCACAGGTGCTCTGCTACCTTCCAGGAGGACAGAAATGGGGATAACAAAGAAATATATGGCTTGTTGTCCGCCCTCAGGGAACTTATAACTAAGTTAACGAATTAAGAAACACATGATATACAGGAGGTGATTAGCATACAGGAAGTTGAGGCAGCTATGATGTGATATAGTCTGAAATCCAGACTTTGCTGCTTATCAGCTATGTCAGCTTGACAAGTTATTTAACCTCTCTGAGCTTCCTTTTTCTCACTTGTAAAAAGAATGGCAAAGCCTATCTAAAAATCATGTCATAATATTGTAATGAGCTACGGTCTGGGAAAACCTTAAGGTGGTTACTTGTATGATTTCTTTGTGCTAGATAGTCAAGAAAGGCTTCATGGATCTGTGGGACTTGGGTTTGGCTTTGGGGAGGGAACCGGATTGAGAAAGTGGAAAGCCAGAGGAGGAAACCGTTCATACAGAGCTCCTCACAGGCAATGTCGTGTGACATAGTTTGTCTTTGCACTCTCATGTTCTGACCCCTGTCCTTACCCTAAAGCCCTTCTTCAGGATCCTATCTTTGAGGGACTGCCACATTCTCAACCAGGACCTACCTATCCACTCCACATAGGGCCAGTCCCCCTGTGGCTTCCCGGGAAGCTGCTCTCTCTTCCAGTAAGCCAAAGGAAGTGGGCCTCCATTTTCTAGTCTGTGAAATGGGGATGGTATCTCCTACCTTGCCTTCCTTAAGGCTTATTGTGAGAAGCAACTGAGATCATGTATGTGGACGTACTTGTAATTGTGAGGTTCTATCTAAGATGTGATGATTATAAATTGATCTGCTGATTGAATTAAATTAGATGATGCATGGAAAGACAGGCTTAACACAATATCTAGCCCATAGGCCCTTTTTGAAAGCATTTGAAAGTCATTACTATTCAATGGAAAAAGTAAAGGGAGATAATCTTTGAGGTCTTTGTCCTTCAGTAGGAAAGTTTTCAGCTTTTGAAGATACCAATCTAGAGTCTACGATGCAGGTTTGGTAATCAACTCAAAGGAATGACTGTTGAGAGATGGGGTCTGACCCAGTAGGAGGGAGGAGCAGCACCTCGACCTAGGGTGGCGGAGATACTTGTGAAGTGACAGAGCCTGACAGTCCTTGCCAGTCACTGCAGGCCGCCACCTCCCTTCCTAGGCAGACAGCTGGGCGAATGTTAACAGTCACCACCTGTTGAGTCAGGGTTTCCCAGTTGGTGGATTATTCACTCATCCTCTTTTCTGTCTGAACTTTGTCTCTCTTTGGCAGTTTCCCCAGTACCTCTACTAGGGCATGCGAAAAGGAAGAAATAAAAATCAGTTTGCCCTCACATTAGGAGCACTAGCAAAACATTTTGCAAATGTATTCTTAAATGTCTGAAATGAAGTCTACATCTCATGTGAAGCTGCCACCAGCCTTGTGGTGGTCGAATCAGACTGAGAGGGTTTGAATCCGTTTTGATTACTGAGTAGACATGTGACTGAGGCAAGTCATTTGAACTTTCTGAACTTCACCTTCCTCATCTGCGTGCTAAGTGAAGCCACGTACGTTAACTGAGCCTAGAGTACATATTCAACAGGTATTCATTATCTTTATGCATCCGTAATATTTAATATAGGCTGGGCGTAGAGGTTCATGCCTGTATTCCCAGCACTTTGGGAGGCCGACGTGGGCAGATCTCTTGAGCCTAGGAATTCAAGACCCGACTGGGCAACATGGTAAGGCCTCATCTCTACAAAAACATAAAAATTAGCCAGGTGTGATGGTGCGCACCAGTAGTCCCAGCTACTTGGGAGGCTGAAGCAGGAGGATCACTTGAGCCCAGGAGGCAGAGGTTGCAGTGAGCAGAGATCACACCACTGCACTCCAGCCTGGGTGACAGAGCGAGACCCTGTCTCAAAAACAAAAAAGTATTTAATATAGCTGAAAGGACTTTGGCAGGATAAATTTTAAGGCACGCAAAGTTGAAAGCCTCTGGCCCAAAGGCTATTGAGTGAGACAAATACATTATTTTTCTTTACAATTATTTACATCTGGGGGCAGGAATTTTATGCATCATCATTTATTAATAATAGTTATACAGTGGACTGGCGCCAGCTTAGCTGGGTGTTCTTGTGAGAGCTGACAATTAAAAAAAAAAAAAACTGTTTTACTATAAAAGTAGAAAACAAAAGTATGTTTGAAGCTTGCAGATAATAGAAAAGAGTACAAAGGTAAGGGGGAAGATCTCGGTATCTCATCACTCACATAACCACCATTGACATTTTATTTTCGTTTTTTCCAGTCATGTGCATGTATATGACCAAAGGGAAAAACCCGTAAATACTGTCATCTTGTCTTCAGTTTTGTACCTTTTTGATTTTTCATTATATCGTGAATATTTTTCTTGTCACCAAATGATCCTCAAAGACATGATTCTTAACGGCTCTATAATGTAGATATGAAATAATTGAACCATACTCCTGTGCCAGGCATTTAACTTCCTGTTTTTGCTATTGTAAATAATTCTGTATTAACATATCCGTAAATCTTGGTGGCATCTCATATTTGTTTCTGGGGGATTCTGTATATTAATCGCTCTGTGGTGGAGTCTAGCAGGGAGCTTCAGACTTCTGGAATTGCCTGGCATTCAGGATGCTGGTGTGGCTGCTGTTCCCTTACAGTGTCCATCAGTCGTCCTGAAGGGGTGCCCTGAAGGATATGCAGCATCTTGACTTTCCTCGTTTGTCTTCGTATCAAGACTGATCGAGCTTACGGTCTGTTAGCATTACTTTCCTGTTTTTATGTTTTCCTGTGTACCACCAGAATCTGACCAACACATTATCCCGCATTCTTGAGGTCTCGAAACAGATACACCCTTTAAAAGCCCAACCCTGACCCCCCATCACAAGACCTTCTGCAAATGCATGCCCAAGAGAAAAGTTTTCTGAAAGCAGATTTCAAACTGTTAGGGCCAGAAACTGAAGTCAGCCGCAAAGGTCCTGCTCTCCCACGGGACTTGCGCAACTCACGCTCACGCTTGCTGGTTGCTTTTCCTTTGTATTTAGAACTGGATAGATTGACGACAGGCAATTCAACTATTTAAGTGTAACCAAGTTGAACCTTTATTCCAGTTTCTTTAAGGATTTCAGTTGTTTCCGACCCAATTTTCTTTCCTGGAAAGCAGAGCTATACATTTTCTTTTCCTCTCTGTCTCTGCGCTATCTCCGTGTCCCTAGGACTGCTGAATAACCAACCTAGTCCCTGGTAACCGTGTGTAACAGACATCAACATCTTAAACTATAAAAATAAGTAAATAAATACCATGGTCTTATCTTGCCCCTTTTTTGATGACTTTCTTCCCAGCAGTATCGCCACATATGATCCTTGCATGAGTGTGTTTGTGGAGGGGAAGGAGGCGGAGGGAGAACTGTAGGATCAGGTAGGAGGCATGAAGTGCAGTGACCGCTTAAGCCAGCGATGTTTAGAGCAATTTGGTCTGAAAGCTTTCCATGAATTTTCTCTCCTCCCGTCCTTGTTTCTGTTACAGGAAAGTTGCCACCTCACGTTCCTCTATTTGCTCAATTCACACTCCCACACTGGGGTTAAAGAAATCATTTGCAATTTGTAAAGAGATTTAATTGGTGATGCTGAAGGTTGCCACTGTCCACCCGAACGCCCTTCCCGTCCACCAATAAAACAAAAACACAAAAGAAAAAAGACTTTTCCGTTTTTCACGTCACCTCTGTGAGAAAGTAAATCCTAGGAGCTGTCTTTAAATCTGTCAGAGTAAAGACGTTAGGAGCGTATGGAAGAGATATGTGCAAAGAACATTCTTCAAGTTTAGTACCGCGTAGCAGAAGGCTATCGTTAACCACGTATTCTAATGATGTATGTGAGGGAACCTCCGCACGTGCTGAGCTCTCTGCTCGATTTCTGAGTGTAGCTTCTACCCTTTAGGCAGGGAGGCGTGAGAGAGAATACATTCTGATGTACCAAACAAGGTGAGAAAGAAGAAGACAACCTCTATGGAAGAATGGCGCCA